CCAAATTCAGAAAAAGCCACAGAATCAACCAGTCTCTCGTTTCTTCGTTTAATTTGTGTCGCTAAACGTGTGACTGTGCAATTATTTTACAATCTTTTTTTTGCACTCAATGTACAATGCACCGCAGATTTCACAGGAATCTTTGGCAAACTTGTGCCATTCGCAAAAGAAGACCTATGATAATTAAAACGCTTTCTAAACTCCAAACACGTTATGTTTTGACTGTAAATATTTGGACTCCCGACTGTTTTGTTCGTTGAACGTCTTTTTTTGGGGGGGGGGGGGTACAATATGCGAACGTTTTGTTGCATTAAAAGCATCTGTTGCCCGAAAATGAGTAGGTGGGTTTTACAAAAGTCCTCGAAAGGCCTGGGAGTGTTTTTTTCTCCCCGATAAGTCTATGCATTAAAAGAATGCACTCTTTTTTTACACACACACACAACGAACATTGACTCTACCTGACAGCACCTGAAGCTAAAAGAAACTCTAAAACAGTGAGGTTATCTGTCTCGAAATGAATGGACTTATTAACAACATCTCCAGATTGGGTGTGACATTTGGTGAGAACTCTTACCTTTGCTTTCTTTCTGCCCTTTAATCTACATTCACTCTTTGTGTTGCTGTACCTTGTAATGGACCAGATAAGGAACAAAAACTAAAGCACAGCCTCCCCCCCCCCCACCACCCCCACCCACATGCACACATACACACACCACCTCCTGAAACCTGTTTATGTTTCCTTAATATAATTTCCTGTTTGGTTTAATGCATGTGGATGTAAGCGAGACGTCTGTGTTTTATGTAGGAAATGAACGACCATCGGTATTAGAAATAAATGGCGATAGAATTCAAACTGATTTGTTGATCGAACTGTTAACCTCTGTTGTGAGGCCCCCAATCATTAACATAATATTACGGGAGAGGGATGGGAGTCGTGATTAGTAATAAATTCCACTGTATTTTTTGGGGGGTGGGGGAATAATCCCCATTTTGCTGGGCGAGAGATTATTTCTAAAATAGTCTGCATTGAATTGCTCCAATGTTGAATGGTTTTAGCTTTTACGAAACCCATCGATGGATGTCTATCGTTTATTGTTCGGGTAGAATCGTAAGGTACATTGCCCCGAAGTCCCCCTCACGACACGTTTGATGAAATGTAATGTTTTATAATAAAGAACCGATGATGTTAAGCAACAACTGCTCGTGTCTGGCCTTTGTACCAAACACATATGTAAAGGCAGCTCCTTGAGGACAAACGATTTGTCGTTCACAGCTGAACAAAATGCAAAAGGATTTGCTAAATCGACCTTGTCGTGTAAAGTGATTAGGACGTCATGTGCAGGATTTGGGTTTGGTGGACATAATACACTAAGGCATCGTTTAATTAAATTTTTTTTTGGGGGGTGGGAGGTGGAAATTATTGACTGCAGCAGTCGTTCGAGGTCCTGCAACTTCGGGGGCTATCGACTGTGTGAGGTTGGAAGGCCATCACTTGAGTTCCAGGTCTGACAGAGCGATCAGAAGCTATTAAAAGTGGGATCGCTTTCAGGAGCAAGGCTGGGGTTTGTCAGTGATTACTGGATTACAAGATGTTCCACTTCGCCCCCTTAGGGGCTGCCACATTGAGTCTTGTACCAGAAAGCCCCCCCCCCTCCCAGGGAAGATTATAACTAGGGATATCCGCACTCCCAGACAGCCCAATTTTGTGATATCTGACACATCTATATCTATCTCTTGGTTCTGTGTGTGTGTGTGTGTGTGTGTGTATTTGTGTGACCAGCAAAAAGGAAAGATAGATATTGCACTAAGTTAGTTACAGGGCGCCCCACAGTGATCTTATGTCATGTCATGTGGCACAATCATTTCCGGAATCCTTGGATAGGCAATTTGGGAAGAGAGAGAGAGAGAGAGAGAGAGGGAAACAAAATTAGACTTTCCTCGCTTATAAACTTTGCACTGGGGGTGCAAAGAGAGAGAGAGAGAGAGAGAGAAAAAAAAACGCACTGTAATTTCATCCACATTCACTGCAGTTTGAGCTCTTTGGCTCTGGGAGC